GAGTGCGTGAAGAGCCGCAAGAGGCGGAAGGGTAAAGCCGGGGCAGCAGCAGGCGGCCCCGCGGTCCTCGCCGTGTGCGTGTGCAAGAGCCGCTACCCGGTGTGCGGCAGCGACGGCACCACCTACCCCAGTGGCTGCCAACTGCGCGCCGCCAGCCTGCGTGCCGAGAGCCGCGGGGAGAAGGCCATCACCCAGGTCAGCAAGGGCACCTGCGAGCAAGGTGGGCACCAGCACTTACTCCGCCACTCCCCGCCACCCCCCTGCTGCGGAGCATCCCTGGAGACCCGCGGGAGGGAGGAGTTGACGGCTGCCCGGTGTCCCGAGCCAAGGGAAACGCCTCCCGGCTCTCTTTGGATGGTTTTATTTGGAGTTTCCTGTGTGCGCCAAGAAAGTGAAAAATCGTAGTAACGGGTGTAAATATAGAAAAGATTTTCCGAAACCTCGGGCTCCTCTATCCCCACAATTCATCCAACTCATAGCTGCCAGGGCAATTCCGGAAAGCCGCTATTCCCTTGAAAATCTTTTCTCGTCATTTTTCTTTGCTTGGGTGTGTACGGAGAGGTGGGTAGACGGAGTTAGCAGAGAAATATGCAGTAAGGACTTTCGGAAAGTTGATTTAGTAACTAGAGAAAAAAAAAATTTAAGTTGGAGTTCATGATACTCTCATGCACTGACGTTTCCAGTTATCGAACGCTTTGATGTTGTAAGCCCTCTGACCATATTGCTTTTCTTCTTGGGTTTAGGTTTTTTTGTTTTGTTTTGTTTTGTTTTTTCATAATTTGTCCACAGGATGCAAGGTTCATGAGGAATGCCTTTGACATTATGTCTGTCTATTGTATTTCCTACTAATCCAAACTTATGAAATAGGAAAAAATAAAGTCTGAGGTTGGGACCAAAAAGAAAATATCAGAGACTTAACTCTAGTGCCTGAAATAACATTTTTCCATGAGCAGGCGTTTGGAGGGAAAGTTAGAGCCCTGCGCTGGCAGCTGCTGTCCTGGCCCCAGCCAAGGTAGGAGGGGAGGGGAGAAAATTCAGCTGTTGCTCCCTGAACACAGTTCAGGCTTTCTTCAGACTTTCCAAGTACCAGCTCTTTCTTTACAGCTTTTCCCAGAAATCCATATGCAAATAGGCTGTGTGCCATTCACTCCAAAGTTCCTTGTTAAAAGCCTTAGCTGGCGTAGCTCACAGTTACCCACTTATGGTATTATCACCTCAAGTTTAGAAAATAACAGCCCAAAGAGCCCTGCTTCCAACAGAAACAGCCCTTTGTCCCTTTGGCTCTTGCATGAGAGTCACATTATGAAGGGAACTGCACATTAAGAGTTCATTCCAAATACTGGGAGTTTCTTATAAACATCCCAAGGGGGAATTTCTTTCCCATAGTCCCAGAGTCAAGGTTCTTTGCCTATCATAGCAGACTACCCTGGCAACTTTCCAAGGGCTGTTGTTTCCTCATCTGTGACTAGTTTTTATTTTTATTAGTGTATTTTAATAGTGCAAAATGATAGGTTTGTTATATTTTATAAATGTACTTTTATTATACTTAGCCTCATCATTGCTCTCTCTCCTACCCTCTCCTCCCCACTCTCCTTCCTTCTCCCAAGTTATCCACTTCTATTTTCCTGACTTTTTTCTAAGAGTAGATTTTTTTTCTTGCTACTTCTTTTTTTTTTCAAAGTTTATTAAATTATGAAAGTTTCCATTTCCGCCCCTCCTCCCAACACCCTCCCACTCCCCTCTCCCCCTCCTCCTCCCTCTCCATCCCTAAGAGCAGTCAGGGCTTCCAACCCTGTGGGCAGTTCAAGTTCCTCCCCCCTCCCTCCAGGTCCAGGAAGGTGAGTATCCAAACAGACTGGATCCCAAAAATCCAGTATATGCAGAGGAAACAAGTCCCAGTGTCATTGTCAATGGCTTTTCAGAAAGGCTCCGGGCCAGCCACATTCAGAGAATCCGGCCACATTCAGAAAATCTGGTTGGATCACGTGCTCGTTCAGTCCCAGTCCAACTGGCCTTGGTGAACTCTCATTAGATCTCTTGCTACTTCTTAACACTCACACAGTGTAATGAGCAGATGTAATGGATGAACAGGTTTAACATGCCTCATTGCCAGTGGTGCCCAATCTTCAGTCCCCTCTCCAGGATGCAAGCCTCTTTAAGAGCACAGTCTGGCTTTATCTTTATGCTCAGGAAGATGGGTGAGAAATAGCATCTAAAACTGGAAACGAATTAGCCTTGCTTCCCTTAGCCCCACACTGACAAACATAGGGGCTGGCTTCTAGGGCAATGGTAAAAGCAGGCCAGAGAGATGAGGAGAGGACAGAGAGCCTTCCCGCAGCAGAGAAGAATGAGTGATGGGGAAACAAGATCTTCTTAGGGACTTGTTTTGGGTCTTGGGTGTAGTTTGACAGCGACAGACAATAGACAGAGTACCACTTAAATCCCATTCAGTCCTGAGTCTTTACAGAGAGTAACAATGTATCTCCTTACTTCCTCTAACAGTTTCTTAACTCAAGAAAACCTTGGATCCTGTTTGTAGGGAGGAGTTTATTACAGGACTCAGCCCCAGTGAAATAGGCTGTCTGCATTCTGTTCCTGTGGTCTCATTAAACATAATATTTATTGAGCAGCTAGCCGGCTTCAGCTGCATATAGCTAGGGATGTGCTATATAGCTAGGGATCTGGCCTTGACGACAAAGGAAGTGTGTGTACGCATTACAAATTGCCCAGCCCTTTCCCTCGGTCCCTGGAGCACCTCCTGGTGTTGCTTTTCTTCGCTGAAATGATCACTTAATGCCTTCTAGAGAGCTTGTCCTGCTGGAGTCTGTATCTCTGCAGTAGAAGGCAAAGCCATCTGCTTGAAAATCTATCTGTTAGAAAGATAATGAGCTCCTAATCTCGAATCTTGGAGCTGTCACTGTGAACTGAGTGCCAGTGGAATCCGCTACGGTCCCTGGCTCGCTGGAAGGGGGAGACTTGACAATTCAGTTTAATAAAAAGAGTCAAGACAGAGATGATGAGGCATGACATAGAATCATGATGCTGAGCCAGAAAATGCTACCGTTCTGTTCCAGTCCTCAGACCTTTTGTTTACTGTCCTTCGAATCTGAATTCCTCGGTCCCATTTTATGTCTGATATATCTGAGTACCATTTTCTGTCCCTTCAGAATTTTTACTTGTGGACCCAGAATGCAACTACTTAGGGTCCCACTTACTAGTACTTCTGTGGCTAAGTTCGAACTGTCATTCAGGCAGCAGGAGGGTCTTCACAGTGTAACTCCATCCGGCATCTTCGCCCCAATCTGCTTTTGTTCCCGCCACAATATATGGCTGCTGTTCTGCATGCCTTTGGAGATGCAGTGCCTTCTTCCTGGAATGCCTCCTGCCCTGCACACACAGACACACACACACACACACACACACACGCACACACACACACACCAAACTCCCTTGGAATTCTTACGTCACTTTCTCTGTGAGACCTGGCTTTCCCCTGGTCCATCATGATGTTATTCTCCCAGCATTGTTCAGCATTAGCAAAGCCTTATGGGTCCTTGCTGTATACTTGTAGAGAGACATCACAGCTGACATTCCACTGTAGAGTATGACTCCCTGGGTATAATTGTTAACTCTACAATGAACTACGCTAACTTTGTGCTCTCGTGACCTCTCTGCCCATAGAGTTCCTCGCTTGTAGAATGGGATTACAATTCTTCCATTCTCATAGGGTTTTGTGATGGTTTGATGTCATGGAAGTTATCTGTAGAAAATACAGGATGAAGATCATTGTCATTATTCAACCAGAAAGTTAGCTCTATATGAAGAGAGAGTTGTTGCCCAAAGAGCCCTAATGCCCAAGGGACTACATCAGTTATGGATTAATGAATGAATAAACCTTCCGATACTCTTCTGGTCTTGAAGTAAGCAACTTTGAATAAAATAGAAGCCATTTCTTACTCGTGGAGTTTAGTGTAACCTTTCGACGCTCGCATAGTTGTGTGTGCTGTGAAAACGTGGGCAGCAGGGAAACAGGATAGGGATTAAGGATGAGTAAAACTACCAGGGAGGGGCAGCGCCAAGAAGCAAAAGAGGGCAGATCTGAGGGCTTCAGCAAAGGGAGGAGCAGAGCCATTGTCCTGAGTGGACAGTAAGCTGTATAGACCACCCGCCATCTCAGAATAATCATTTCCGTGTCTGTCTTTTCCCAGAGTAAAGGGTGGACTCCGTCTTTTAATTCCTTTCAGACACAGTGGCTGGCTAACAGTAGGAACTTGTTTTATGTTTATCAGTCAGACAGAGGAGACCCTTAGGGAAGGGCCTTCCACTGGAAGTGTGGGCAGTGGGCTCCCTGCTGTGTGTGCCCCACCCTGCACCCTCCCTGACCCCACTCCCTTTACACCGACTTAGCTTCCTGTCCAACACCACCCTGAGCTCTGATATCATGCTCACTTCCCCCCAAACTCCCACAGTCTCACGTGGTGTCAGGGTCTAGAATCGGGTCCGGGAACTGTGTTGTGAGTAGAAAAGACTTCAGCGAAGGCTTTGATTGTCAGGGACAAATTTTATTTGACAAATGTTAAAAACCTTCTCTAAGGAATTCGTTTTAGACTTATTCTAAGGTTGGTAACGTGCCATTTAAATGCTGCTGTGTAATTGCTATCCTTGAGTGAACCCATGAACTCCCCTGGAAGCTGAAACAGAGGTGTTTCAACAGTCACTGAACTTGCTAATGAACCGGTTTATCTTGAGACGGGGCGTGTCAATGTGATGCTTTTTGTTAAACTAAGTCTGTCGTGCAAAAAAAAACGGCAAGTTTATGCTGAGGAGGGCGTTCAGATGCGGGAGAAGAGCCACTGATGACTTCTCGGGGGAGTGATATCCTGAGTGAGATAGGGGCAAAAAAAATGGCAGTTCGCTAGAGAAGAGCTAGTGTGGAGCTTGGAAAGGGGTGAGAAGGAAGAGGATGGAATATTACTCGCATTACTAAAGAAGGAAGTCTGGTCATTTGTCACAACGTGGATGAACCTGGAAGACATGGCTACGTAAGCCATGCACAGAGAAGAGTCTGGCATGATCTCCTTTCTGTGAAGAAACTCAAAATGTCAAACTCATCGGATCAGAGAGCAGAAGATCCTCCTTCACGGAGCCTGAGAGTGAAGTGAGGATAGGAGAAACTGTGGGAGGGCTGTCAAAATACACAAAAAGCAATTAGAAAGGAAT